TGCCTCCGTGCGCTGCAGCCCGCCTGCCTCCCGTGGGGTCTGCGCGCCGCTTCCTGCGTGAAACCCCTTCGGGTACCTTAGAGAGCCTGCAGCAAGGCGTGACTGGGGCGAGATGCCCCGTTTATCCCCGTGTATGGGTTATTGTAGCCTTCGGGCGAGCTCCGTTAAAGTGTCTTCCGTTTGTATTTCAGTCACTTCTCATGAGGATAAGTCAGTTGTGGAAAGAGCAGCGAGGTAGTCCCGGTGACGCGGTTGTGCAGACAGGTTGCGACAGCAACGCAGTTGTCTGAGCGTTAACTTGGAAAAGGGCTAAGAATTGCCATTCCTTTCCTAGCAGGGCATGGCTACAGCTTACCAGTCTTTTGTAACTTCATACACCAGTGTGTGCTTGGGTTACCTGTGAGGGAGGATAGTGGCTTGGGAACCACGACATCTGGATTTCATTCCCAGCTCAGTCACTTCATGCGCTCTCCTGAGAAAATTTTCTGTTCTCTGTGTCTGTTTCCTTATCTGTGAGCTGGGAGAGTAGTACTGATGTACCCTTAGATGTATTAGGAAGCCACACTGAGAGTTATTGTATTGCAGGGATTTCTCAGTTGAAACAGGTACTGTTCAGTCAGGCTGCACATATGCCTTTGATGAAAATAATCCCAAAGAGACTTTACACTGAGAACTGAGAAATCTTTCCGTGGAGAGCGCAAATGGTTGCCTGCTCAGGTTGGGACCATTTGTACCTGCAGGTGTAATGAAATGGAGTAAAGTGTATTTTTAGAAGTTGACTAATAAAGGAAGCTGTCTGTCTTGCCTTCACAAGTCTTAATTTGGTTAGGCATGGCAAAACAGTGCAGACACCTGTGTGACTGTACCACCCCCACGAGGGCAGATGTGGTCCCAGCGGTCACACAGAATGAGACAGGTTCTCTGGTGTCTGGTTTTCTTCACCAGAGTAAAGGTTATGTTCTATACTTGAGAATTATCTGATACAAACATAACACAAAAAAACCCTTATCTGCTAAGTTCTTTGTTTGGTGTCTGAATAATATGCTTCAGAAGTTTTTTCTTAGTTGTTTGTAAACAAATAACTTACTTTGTTGAACTTGTTAATAAGTAGTGTTTTACATTTCAAAAGCAACGTGTTGGTGCTGGGAGACAACATGCACACCAGAAATGTCAGGCAACAGCTGAAGACAAAGACCTCTCTTTACAGGGACTTAAATAGGGCCTTTGTAGAAAGGGTATTTTTATCACTTCAGCTTTCCAGTTAACCGAAAACGCTTTAACTGTACAATGTAGACTGGTAAGCTACTTACAGTTTTTTTGCCTTTTAGGCTAAGAAAGCAACAGGAATTATGTACGCATGCTTTATCTGTAGTCGATGTCAAAGGAAAAAGGTATGATGTGAGGGCCTACAAGGTGGATCAGTTTTTCACAGAGAATTAAGTTAGTTGCTGTTTGTAATGAGGAAGGAGGAAGTCTTAGCTGGCCTCTAATAGACGTAATAATAAACATCTTTGCAGTTGGCATTATTTGGCAGCATCAGTAGAAGGAAAAGTCTGAAAGCAACATGGAATCTAAACTCACTTCCTACTAGCAGGAGTAGATGCTTTTAGGGAACTGACCCGACAGTATGCAGAAATTTTGCGCAGATATTGTGTGATTCGTTTTTGCTCCCCAGATAAACCAGCATTTGAACCTGCTGGGTTCCTGGCCTGCCCTCTGAAGAAAAACCTAGCTCGGCTGACACCAGAAAGTTACTGTGCTGAGCATACCTTCTGACCCACTGCCAGACAGTATTCAGCAGAGGAGAAAGGATGTATTAATATCATGTTATTTTATTGACAGATTGAAAACCTAGAATGGCAGGAGAACAGAAACCGTCCTGCAATCTTCTAGAGCAGTTTATTTTACTAGCCAAAGGTACAAGTGGCTCAGCTCTGACTGCTCTTATAAATCAAGTGCTGGAGGCTCCTGGGGTTTATGTCTTCGGAGAGCTATTGGAGTTAACAAATGTGCAAGAGGTAAGAGATGCGTTTCTATCCTAATGCCCCTTCTGCACTCCCAGTATAAGGGATCCCCAGAAGTTTCCACAGCCAGCCTGTGCGTGAAAGTTCTGTGCCAGGAAGGGCCTGGTGTGACTTGGTTCTGAGATGTTTGTGTGTGAGATATCAATGTTGCTTTTGCCTGTATATATTAGACGTTAAAAAATACCTATATAAAGCTTTGCTACCTTAATGCGATTGCTAATACAGCAAAAACCTGGCAGGAGCACAGTAACAATTTTAAGAAGGCACCTAGCCAGCCAACAATGAAAAAATCCCTTTCTACTCCTTCATTGTCCTGGAAAGCGTAACTTCAACGCTCTCCAAAAGTCTTTATGAACAGATGTCTAGTGTATCAGGGCTGTGTGGTAACCAAATCCAAACCATTTCAAACCAAGGTGGAAAGTAAGTTCCAGAGCTTTTACTGAGAATGCCTCGCCAGCACTCCCCTCTACTACAGTGAGGGAATCTAGGTTGAGTATCCTTGCAGCTGGGGTAATGTGGCATACAGCAAGTTTGGCTTTCCAAACAGGCTCTTAGGTATGCTGAAAAATGCCTCTATGGTTATTCAGCATCACATCGCAAGTACATTTTTTTTTTTCCTGGATCTGTGTGCAGCAAACGGTATTAAAAAAAACCCCACTCAGTAAAAATCACTGCTTGGTGCTGCAGTTATTCCAGTGAAGAGTTTGCATGTGAGAGGAGTGCTATTACTTTCAAATGCACTCAAAATGTTCTAGCTTGCTTTGCTTTGATGTTTTTGTGGCTCTGCAGGTAAGCTGTCTTAGCTTTCCCAGTAACTGCAAGGATGCTTAACCAACCAACACCATTGCCTGCTTGCTTGTCACATGATGAGAAGAGCTGGCCCTGTAGGATGTCAGCTGAAATTAAGAGTCTCCTTTTTCTTTTACCTCCTAAGGTGCTGCACAAAGCAGTTGACAGTCCAAACTGTAGTTAAGTTCTGGTGCACAGAAATGGCTAGACCATCTTGACTCTGAAACTGCTGAAATTTGCTGCTGCTCATGAGGCCCATGGAAAGGGTCTAGCTCTTTAAGATCGGGACATAATTGCTTTTCTCGGTACTGCTTGTCCTGTGTAGATTTAAAACATTCTCTGGAGAAGTTATCTGCCAGTATCGTGTTGGCTGTTAACCATGTTACATGGAATTTCTTTTGTTTTCTTCCCATCCAGCTTGCTGAAGGGTCTAATGCTGCTTATTTCCAGTTGCTGAACCTGTTTGCATATGGAACGTACCCAGACTATGTAGGTAAGAGACTGCCGTTTGCAGAGTACAGGGCTTGGTTGCCCTTTAGCATTGTCAGAGGCAGTTCTCTGCTTTCTGTGGTACCTGGTGTAGCGTGGTTGGGTGAAAGTGTCCAAGAACAGAATTTGCTTGGGAGGGGAGTTGTTCGTAGGGGGTCTCTGGATCATACATGCTTTTTAATTGCTAAAATGTGGAGGAAGGGCTAAAGATGATGGTCTTTTACTGGTTTGGATGGGACTGCAGCACTGGATTGAGTTGGCCTGTAGAAGTATTCATTGATGTTCACAGGCCGCTTACCTCTGCGGAGTGCAATTTCAGACATCTGTTTTGAAATTTAGATGACATCGGTTATGGAAGTTGCAGAAAACTTAGACAAAATTGTTCTGCTTTATTTATAAAAAACTGTATGGTTTATGGGATAACCTTTTATTCTGTGATGGGATTGCTGAAACGAAATGAAGGATTTCTTAGCTAGAATACAAATCGAAATAATGACTTTTATACAGCTTCAGAATGACTATGCGTGAATCATCTCAGTATCTTCCGGGATGTGCTTTTATCTCTGGTGCTTATGTACTTCCGTTCTGCTACAATTTAATACTTCATTTGTGGGTAGCAGCCTAATCCAGACCTTTACAGAGTGTGACAAATAATTCTGTCATTGTGCTGGCTATCACTGTGGTGGATGAGCTATCTAGTTCCTGTAAGAAGTGGCATCTGTAAATGCAAGGACTGGAAATTCCAGTGGCTGTGGAGCAACACAAGCCTCGTGAATTCTGTGACTGATTAGAGGATGCATTTGCTGTGCATGGGTCTTGTGTCCCAGCATGTGACAGTGCAGTTCGTTCTTCCTTTTCTAGTGAAGAAAGAGGAGGGAAAAGTAGTCAAAAGGTAGAGCATTGAATGAGGTGGGGTGGATGGGAGAACTTGAGTGGCCCTGAAACACTAATTTCTGTTAAAGTAGGTATTTTGAAGAGTTTCTTTGCTTTGGAAAGCCACCAGTTTCCTTTCTGTTTTTAAATATTCATGAGGCACATGAATATAATACAGTGACAGTGAGACCATGTAACTATTTAGATTAATAATTTCTCCTCTCTTCCTCAGCCTGGTACTTGACACTTTCAACCCTAAATTCTGCACCTCTCTAGAAATACATCTATATTTACAACCAGATCAGCAAAGGGGGAAGATTTTATGCTGTCAGTTCATTAATGAAATAAAAATGACTTGGTGGTAGAAACAAAGCATTGACCAACCATTTTGGCAGGACACTACTTGTGTAGATGTGAATTATGTTCTAATTCCAAAACCAGAATTAGTAAATAAGCAGAGAAGAATGGAATTGCCAACTTGTTCTTTAACTTCTCCCCTTTCTCCCTGGGTGTGCTAATCTGTCAGCAGCAGCAGCACTCTCTGCTCACCAGCACCCACAGTAGCTGGAGGAGTTCAGCCTTTCAGGGTTTAGCATAGTGTAACTAGCCTGAAGTTCTGCAGCCTGGATTATGTAGTTCTTGAAGGGAAGTCCTGAATCTTGTCTTTTTAACATTAACAGCAAACAAAGATAACCTGCCTGAATTAACAACAACTCAGAAAAACAAGCTGAAACACTTGACGATTGTAAGCCTGGCTTCCAGAATGAAGGTAAAGTACACTGTGTATGATAGCAGTCTTCTGTTTGTTTTTGAAAATGGCATCAATTCCATAGCCTTGAAGTTGTATCAAACTGCATGAGTACTCGTAAAAAAATCCTGCAACTGGGAAAATACCTGTAACGTATAGTGTTCCCTCGTCGCTCATTTGGGACATTAACTTAGTGGACTTCCGTGGATGAGACGTTGGAGTGTCTGAACTGCCATGCAAATTGGTCAGTAAGGGCTGCGAAGCTTTGTATGGCTTCTTTCACTACTGGAGATGGAGAATTATTCTTAAAAATACTGACTTTTTGTTCTAGAGAAAACTAAGCAACACTCTTAATTTCTTCTACAATCCCATTACCTTTTTTCCTCCAGAGCATGCTATACTGAAGCTTCAGGAATTACCAAAGTTGTGTTAGAATATTATGTAGCCTGGTAGTAGGTGTTTGTTCTGCCAGGATCAGTCACTGCTGTACTTGCAGGGTAAAGTGTAGGATACAATAAACATTTGGGTCTTGACCTTCTGAGACTTAGTTGTTCATTTTGGCTCTAGGACTGTTAACTTATTCTTGGACTTGCTGTTTTTAGTGCATTCCCTATTCTGTGTTGCTGAAGGACCTGGATATGAGGAATCTGAGGGAGTTGGAAGATCTGATTATTGAAGCGGTTTATACAGATATTATCCAGGGGAAGTTGGATCAACGAAACCAGGTGCTAGAGGTGGATTTTTGCATCGGCAGAGACATTCAGAAGAAGGACATCAGTAACATTGTCAAAACACTCCAGGAATGGTGAGGCAGTCTCTCCACTTTCCTTGTTCCTTGTACATAGCTTGTCCTGTCTTTTTCTTATTCCTCAAAGTTTCAAATGCTGGCTCAATTTCACCATGTTCCATTAATCAGGAGCCTTATGCTGTAAGGAGGCACTTGAAGGAGTAGCCTATTGGGCATGTTTTCCAAGATCCCATCTAGGATTCAGTTTGTGTTATATATCAACCCAAACTATTCTAGGTCTTGAGATTCTGCTCTCACCGTAGCTTTTACATGGCAGAACTCTAGCGAGGTGTCAAGGGTCTTTTCAAACAGACACGCCAAACTGGACTAATGGTCTTATGGTGGGAGCTACTCCCCTTTCTGCTGTTACACTTGATAACAAAAACAGAACTGTCCATTACTTTTCAGCCTTTTTCACTGTGATGAGAACTGTATGGGTAAATTCTAGAGAATCATAGTTCTTTGGAGGGGATGTCTCTTCAAGTTTGAAGTTTCAGATGCCTTTGCCTTCTCTTTGTTCCTGCAAATGCAGACTGCATGCAACCATATTGGGACTGCGGTACTATCTGTTTGTACCTTTGCCAGGAAGCTGCTTCTCATCTTTTTGTAGGATTTCCTTCCCACCCAAAGAAATTCCCCTGTAGCATGTGGAGCCTATGGCAGGTTCTCAGCTGACTGGGAATTGCATCCTAGTTGCTATGGTAATGGGTGCATGAAAAGTAATTAAACTGCTGTGCAAATACGCTGTCCTGAGGTGGGGGCAGGTTTTTTGCTTCTCTACTCCAACTCCCTCAATCCCATCTCAGCAGGAGGGCTCTGGCAGCTTCCAGGACCTTACAGCATTGTTTGGAAGGTAACAATGAACCCACTGCCAATTCCCTTTCTGTCCTCTCCAGTTACGAGTTCTGTGTTGGAGCAGTGCTCTTGTCATTTGAACACTTAACAGTTCTCTCAATCTGACTTTTTTGTTTAATCTTAAAATTTTACTTACTTTTGAAAAAATGCATTGCATCCCCGTTTAAGCAGTAATTCTGATTGAAAAGGAAGTTGAAAGTGCATTGAACCTGCACTTACTTTCTGATGGGCAGGTAAGAGTAACGTGGACTCTTTAAAGAATGCTGTGAAATACATTGAGTAAACAGCAAAGCTTTTTCTTTCCAGCTTTTTGGAACTCTAATCTTTAAGCAGGAAGTATAAATTTAATAATCTCCTAAACTTTTAGGTGAGCATGACTTTTCAGATTGCCCGATTGAGCTGCTCCAGAGAGACCTCCTAAACACTGTTTGACATTGTTTATATCTTGCAGGTGTGATGGTTGCGAGGCGGTTCTTTTAGGAATTGAGCAGCAAGTACTTAGAGCCAACCAATACAAGGAGAACCATCACCGAACTCAGCAGCAGGTAGAGATGGAGGTGGGTACAGAGTCACTTCAGGCTGCTCTATGCTTTTTGATAAATGTTTGTTTACTGAAGAAAATAACCTGGTAATACCTGGTTAATGGTTGTGGCTTCTCTGAAGTAGGCTTGCAATCACACAGATCGGATGTGCTGGTTTGGGGTAGGAAGAAAGCACATCTGCTTCCATGTGCCAGTAATACCCCACACATCAAATTTGCCCACTCTGAGCAGGTTGGAATTTTTCTTTATAAAAATACGCTAGGTGGGTGCACTACTAGAGTTTCCTGAGTTGATTTGTTAGGAAAAGTGTGCTTTTAACACAGAGCTTGGATGCAATTCTGTTCCTTTTGTGCAAGGCAGGAAGGAAGGAAAAAACAATTCACTTTATTTTAAACCTGAAAGTATAATTAACAAAAGTCTCTTGAGTCTCATTGCTTTTGCAAAAAGTGCCCTCAGCAGCTTCCTTCGGGGTCTTTCTCTTGAGGTCAAGTTGAGCACCCAGACAGCATCTCTGACACGCTCTCTCTGGCAGCGTGAGGTGGGAGCACTCCTGCCTCTGTTGCATGCGCGGCTAGGCGGTAGATGGCAGCACGGGCATGCGATTTTAGCCGCTGCTGATGTGTATTTACTTAAGAGAACAAATCTTGGCTAATACAGCTGTAAAGGTGAAAATGGTCCTCCTGAGACACTTGCTTGGGGTTTATTTCTTGCAGAGTGCTGCATCCCTGCAGGTTTACGTTTGCCTTCTGAAGCAGCATATGCTTGGCAGCTTGATCAGCATCAATAGTGCATTTGGTTTGCCAGATGCCTTTGGCCTGGAGTTGGCACACCTGACTCCCAAACTTGGTTTTGCCTGTGGGGTTCTTTTAAGGTTTGCTCATTGTATTTCTGGTGAGCCCTGTAGGGTTCCAGGGGACAGAGTATGGTGCCTGGTGCTGTATCTCTCCTTTTCAGCCAGAGTAGCAGAAGCACTACTGCTGCCTCCCATGAGACCAATTTCTGTTCCTGCTTCTAGCAAATATCTGTGGCTCAGACAGCCAGCTAGGTCAAATGGCATTTTCCCTTTTCAAGAGCTGTCCTAAGTGTGAGTTTGTTTCTTTCACAGTCTCCTTTGTCCTTCCTGCTTCTGGCCAACATAATGGTAGGATGGCTGCCTTCTGCACCAAGGCAGTAGTTGGTCCCGGCAGCCAGCCAGAAAAGTGGTACAATATTGTGCCATTGTCTCTTGGCGGGGGGCAAAAAGTAACCTCTAGGTATTCTGTATGGGACCCAGACTGGAAATATTAACAACTCTGGCTGTAAGTGAGGCTGAAACATTACCTTTAATAAATGCAAGTGCAGAGCATGTTTCTGGTGGGAGAGTTTATTTTATAATCTCTACTCTGTACTCCAGGGGTTTTTCAATATGTTTATGAACAGAGTTTCTACTGCAAGGGGAGGAAGGAGCAGGTGCTGATTCACTGTCTCTTCTTGGCCAGGTCACAAACATAAAGAAAACATTAAAAGCTACAGCCTCGTCGTCGGCACAGGAGATGGAACAGCAGCTGGTAGAGCGAGAGTGCCCTCCACACACAGAACAAAGGCAGCCCACAAAGAAGATGTCCAAAGTCAAAGGGCTGGTCTCCAGCCGTCACTAGACCATACCATCTAAATGTCATTCAGCTAGGAATGACTACAGGAGGAGTGAAAAAGGACCTGCGTCTCCTTTTTCAGTGGGTTCTGGGCCAGTCCCTTCCAGGCTGGCAGATAAAAGCCCTGTTTGAATACAGCTCCCAGTTAGCAGCACCTGGCTAAGTTACACTGTGCAGCCCCTATTAATTTCCAGGGTGTCCTGTTCTGGTCCTGTAAAGAGGGACTTCTAAAGAGAGGGACTAACCAAAAGGGGCAGGGGGAAAAAAAACCCAAACCTATCTGTGGACAGTTTTGCTCCCTCCCAGCCAGTCTCATTGCTGCTTAACCTTGAGGAAGCTGCTGTACGAAATCAGATCTTGGGAGAACTTCTGTAGCAAGTGACTGAATCCCAGGGTTGATGTGTGGCTACCAAAGCCAGGCTGGGAGTGAGGAAGCCATCAACACAGATCTTTTCATTCCCAAAGGGAGCGCAGAAAGGTTTCTAGGCCAGGAACTGCTTTACACGGAAGTCTTCAGCCTTTCCGCTACCCCTGTCTATTTTAAACTGGGGTGAAATTCATGCTACCTCGCTCTGTGAAGATGAGATCCAGTGCTGGGCTGTTTACTTAGCTGTCTGTTTACTGCCCTTACTAAGCCCTTTAATCTCACAGATTTAAAGCACTGTTCTGCATCTCTGAGGCATCAATACAATAAAGAGGAAGCAGGCTGCTCTTTCGAGCCTTCCTTCTTGCAGGTGGTTAGGGGCATACTAGAAACTGTTCCTTTTGAATGTGATGTGACTTCCCAGAGCTGCTTGTGAGTTGTTTCCCCCATTGATACCTTCAAAGGGTAATGCATTCGCTCTTCCTTGGATGCTAGCGACAGAGGCCTGCATGGGAGAAGAGCCTGTTTAGCATCGTGGCAGGCTGGTGGCCCAGGATCCACTGGCAGGGGTCGCAGCAGCATCCCCTTGCTGAAGCAATGGACTTGACTAGTCTTTCTGAATTTTGAACACTTTCAGGTTGTATTTTCCTCCCCTTTTTTTGTACATTGTTGTGATTCTAAAGCATTTCAGCCTTTGTTTTGTGTTTTTTATTTGTTACAGACTAACTTCAGGTGATTTGCACCTAGTTTGGCAAGGTATGGGGTTATTTTTTTTAAGGGGGAGGATGGGGTTGGCATTGAAACAGCAATTCGCAAAAAAGCACATTTTAGAAAAAAATTAAAAATGCTGATTTAATGTCAGAGTCTGGAGTCTTGGCTTTGAGGCTGCTTTAGGCTTGTAGTCCAACAGCACTTGTTCACTTGAGCATTTACTTGATTCTTGATGTTATGTTATCAGAAGGTCTGACTAATCTCCCTGATGCATCCGGGAGGCAGGGAAGTGCTCTTGCCATTTTGTCAGTAGTTCATCTTTGTCCAAATATGTGCAGAAGGTTCTGTTGCAATGCCAGTAGCTGAGCCCAGTGTCCTGAGCCTAAACACCTTTGATGCCTGATTGTGGAAGGTTTGTAGTTGTGCTCTGTCTTAGGCCAGACGATTCCTTCCTCTGGGTCTGGCAGAGTACTGCTTTGTAGTTTGGCCCCTGCATTTCACTTCACTCCATGCTGTAAGGAGAAGGGCTTTCCGTGAGCAGGCAGGGGAGCTGTTCAAACAGAGGACTGTGACAATGCCCCAGTCCTGCAGCCAGTTGTCACCTGCACTTACCTGTGCAATGCACGTGCCTTCCTCTTATTGCTACCAGCATTCCTTGCCATCGCAGGTTTTCAGTC